TAAAAGAACAAGCTATTGATATTTACATATGAACCGAGGCGCTATAGCGTACGTGACTGCTCGGCACTCTCCAGCGAGAGGGACGGTACTGAAAGCAAAGTTTCAGTTCAAAGGCAATAATCACTCTCCTTGCAGCTCAAAACGATTATAACCACTAAGAAAGAGCAAATATGCTAATGCGACCGGAACTTCAACAAACCTTAATTAGGAATTGGCCGCTTGTGGTGTGAGGATTGTAATAGGCATAAGCCAACCATCCAACTAAACACAATGAACTACCAAGTATAAAAACGAGCGCCGCATAGCCACCACCGTCAGCTTTTCCTAAAATTATTTGCTGTTTTGATGCACTTCTAATTGTTGCTCACATTGCCCTTCAAAAACGATATTACAAGGATATGGGTTAATAAACTGGCTAGATAATCTTATCAAAAAGGATTCTAGCTAAGAAATTTTAATTCTGCGGTTGTCTCATACGCTCTGCTGGCAGGACAAAAACAAAGAAACATAAGCATGGGAAAAATTTACCCTTAGCCTTTTCCGCTCTGTGCTCTTTATCTAACGGTATAACATCATCTGGTGAAGAAGGTTGTTCTGAAGGGGGAGTCGAACTGAAACCAGTTTTGTGAATTCATGGCGACATCATTCTGATCATATGTTTTAGTGTTGTTCCAAATGAATCTCCTCAATAGCTGATCGGTAATTTTTCACATTCCAAACTCAATGTATATAAATAATTTATCAAAATCTAAATGAAGAAAAATCATGCCTGTCATCTTCCACTTCATCTTCATCTGTATCAACATTACAGTACATATTCTTCCCTTGATTTTTGCAGTTATTTTCGGCCCAATGTTGACGACGGCGATGAATTCTATAAACAATTGTTTTTTAATGGAACAGTCGCATCAAACTGTAGTCAGACCGACATCATACTTACCCTCCTTGGTCAGTGCAAAATGGACCTCCATGAGATTTTTTCGCATGGCACCAAGAGCAGGTGAAGTGTTTCAGTGTTGCATTGGAACAGGCTTCGCAAGTTTGGAATTGGATGCAAGCTGCAAACGTAGGAAAATCAGGAACCAAAGAGAAGAATAGATTAAACTCAATGAGCTCGTACCCGGTTGAGCGTCAAGGTAGACAACTGTCTCAGCAACAACTTTGTCGAGAGGAACTTCAATTCTGTGGTACTCATAGATGACACGTTTTGGGCTCACTGAATTTATTTCATTAACGCTAATTGAAGGTTATTATAGGCAGCCCCACAGGTTCCGAAAGTGAACTTAAAGGCAGTGTCCAGGCAAATTTTCGACACCACGTCTTTCACGTTTTCTAAAGC